AGCTAAGACTTCTCTGTTTTGAGTTAGCATTTGAAGAGTTGTACGGAAGACGGTCCCAGGTAGTTGTCCGGCGAGAACTTGGTCGGACTTTGTCCCAAGGCAGAGGTTTCAGCTTTGGCTTTGGTCGCTCAGTTGTTCCTTCCCAACAACTCTGTGGTAACTCCGAGAAAGATAGTTTTTTTCCAGATTTCTGAACCATAAAAGACTGTGACGGTGGCACAAGAGGAGGCGGCTCCGGCATTGCCGGCGGTGGCCGTTGTGGAGGAGGAAGAGTAACAGCAGCAGCCGATTCTCTCTGTTGAGTTGTATCAACCTCTGGATTTTCCCAAGAAGATTTCAAACTTCTTGAAGATTCAGAGATGTTGATACAAAAATCTCTAGCTGGTGACGCCGAAGTTGAAGAAAGAAACAAAGACTTGACATTTCGACTGAAATCGTTCCATCTCGGCGGCGAACTATCAAGAACCTTCCGGAAAAACCGATCCGGCGTAGTGGAAACTGAAGAGTACATAGAAGAACGAGCGTATGCGTCAGGAGTTCGAATCATACCTCTCTCTGGTGAAGTAGAAGCAGAGGAAATTCTTGGAAACCCTAGATTTTGATTCCAGAGGCTAAACATTCTCAGAGACGCTCCACCATATCTCTTGTTGTTCCTTACTGTTCTCTCCGGCGACGACGGAGATTGAGGGTTTTGAGTAGTTGACCAATGAGGAGCCGTAGAGTTCATCGGCGGAGAAATCGTAGCGGACGGTGACATTGCCGGAGAATCCGAGTGTGAAGAGATAGAGCAAGAGCAGTTACTGTACGGGTTGATTCTCCGGTCTCGTGATTCTTGACCAGCTACAGACGCGAGAGGCGAGTAAAAGTCGTCGTCTTCTTCTTCTTCTTCATCAAGATTAGCTTCAGAGTTATGTTGCAGGAGGAAGCTACGAGCAGGTAATGGCGGGAGAGGAGAGATCTCCGGTGACTCCGGTTTGACGAAACCCGACCCGGAGGAAGTGACGACGTTTCCGAGGTAGAGAACATCGGAGGTAGAAGGAGCTACAGAGAGTTTGTTTTCAGTGGTGTTGTTTCTTGGAGGGGGACATGGAAGAGTTTGTTGTTGGGATTGGTCTGAAGCTAAGCTCTTGGATTCGTCTTTGAAATGACGGATTTGTCCTCGCCACCGTCCGTAGAGAAAGAAGGCCAAGGCGATTAGTGTTGCGACGGCGAGCACGGCGGAGATAGCAGGGATAAGGAGTGTACGGGAAGAAGTTTGCGGTTTAGGGGAGCGAGGGAGGACAAGGGCGGAGATGTTCGCCGGGAATGTCGCAAAAGTGGGGGCGGGAGGCTGCGGTGGAAGAGGAGGAGGAGAGGAGGAGCTGTAAAGTGGGAAGAACGGCGGCGAAAATGTGGAAGGATCAGTAGGAGGAGCTTGTAGAAGGTGACGGCGACTGAAAGTGGCCGGAGAAGCGTATGATAAGGGAGAGAAAGCGCAAGATAGTAGGGAGAAGATGACGTAGCAAAGTCCGTCCATTTTTGGGGTTTTCTTGGAGAGTTTTGTGTTCTGCAATGCGCACTATCTGAGGATGAAAGAGTGACTTAATGCTATACTATGCTAGTGTTGTGAACTATAGTTTCCCATATTTTTTTATTTTTTTAAAAGAGTTTAATGGTAATACTGTATAATTGAACTAAATATATACTATTAAAGTGAAAGTAGGGAGGGAAAAACGTATATGAAATGCAATAATTACGTGGAAGTAAATTTGGGTCCTCTCTTTCAAAAGAATCTTTTTGACTTTTTATGCCATCTTTTTCTACTACTATACAAAACACTATCTTCTCTTTTCTATGCAACCCAATTATTAAAGGCAATACCATCTTTATCTACGAGGAAAACAACCAGACAACATTTCTATTTGCTAAATATTGTTAATTTTTTCGTGTTATGAAATACTACGTATTCGAATTCAAATTAATTAATTAATAATATATAGTTGGGCTAAAATGTCTGAAAAAAGAAAAAGAAAAGGAGGACAAGAAATGTAGAATGATTTGCCTTTTATTTGTCTTATCCACATTTTTCGTGAAGAATTTATAAAAAATATTTCATTTAAACTATTCCGTAATTATGGAAATTAACTAGTGCATTAATTTGAAACTCCCTCTAGCTTTGGGGCATTAATTTGAAACGCCCTCTAGCTTTGGGTCGTTTCACAATTATGCATGTGTTTTTTGGAAATAGTGGTGTGGCATAGATTAATCAGCACAGTTTCTGTGGATGCAAGAGAGCCAAAGGACGCTAAGAAGAAAGGCAATGAGAAGAAGGAAGAATGCACAAACAAAACAAGTCGCGCAAAATAGCTTGGTTGCAGAGGCAAGGACTAGAAATGGAGAAGATTTGGTTGGCCATATTGATGAGATTGTTACAACACACCATGTGCTCATTTACGTACCTCGATTTTTGGATGTTTTAGATTAAACAAATGTTAAAATTTACCAACCAAAATATTAGTACAACAATTGATTACTGGCCATCCCAAAACCTTGTATAGAAAACTACAGCTCTACTTTTCTTGTCAGAGAACACAATCACGAAGTTGTGTTTTCACGAGGTTGAGAGTTCGTTCTCACGAAGCTTATTTTCACTCCAAAAGAAGAATCTCATAAGTCATAACAATAGACTAGTAAGAAGATCAGGTTCAAATGTGAACTCATACTCTGAGCTGAAGACTTTCTTGCTACACTGGCGGGAGTGTTTTAATATGCAAAAGTCCAACTTCTTCACAACATCCAAGCAGACACTAATTAGTAGATAATTGTTTTTTTCTCCTGAGTGGGCAACATAGGTTATAAACTTATAATTAAGCCTTCGAAGGACAATGCTTTTTAAGATGCGATTTGAAGAAGATTCAAGTTAATCGCGTGTTAATATTGGAAGACTCACAAAACTTTTGAAATCTAACTTAAATTTCATGAATGCAAACTTATATATATCCAGATAACAAAAAAAAATTAAGATCTCCAAAACTACAAATACATTATATATAACATAGTTAAGAGTACTTAAGACAAATCACCTGTCGAATCCAGAGGAAAGCAACTCATCTCGTAGCATGTGTCAAATCAGCGGGAATAAAACCTCATCCTAGCTGTTGGCTTCACACTACAAAGGCCAATATGTCTAATCAATGAACATATTCATCAAACGCTTTTTCTTTTTCTCGATTTTGCTACCATTAATTTATTGTAGTACTAAAACCAACATCAATCATCTAAGATTTCACCAGCATCAAAATTTTCTGTTGGAGCCAAAAATTGACTATCAATTGTTTGGAGCCGATCAGCTCGCATTGCTGCATGTACCTTCTTGTACATCTCTCCCATGTTGTCAGCTGGCTCAAGACTCCTCTTATATAAAAACATAAGATTACAAAAGATAATATTACAATCTATAAAAACAATAGCTGCAAGAGTTCTCGTCATATATATGATTTATTAGCATTCACATAGTTGATACTATATCAGTGCCGGCTCTCCCTATGTGCGGGGAGTGCTCATGCACATGGTCCAAAAATTTTTTGTCTTTTTTTCAACTAAATTTATTAAAATTAGGATCCAAATATTTTTTTTTTATATATATATACATAAGAAATTAGGGCCAATTGTTTTTTTCAGCTCATGGTTCTTTTTTTTTTTTAGCCGGCCCTGTACTCTATGAGTATCATAAACAATATTTTAGTATTAGTTTTATTGTTTGAGATTTTTTATGATACTGATGATAAATCTGTTTCCAGTGGTGAGACTAGTATCGGTATCATTAATTATAAAAAAATTATTTGCAAAATCGAAAATAAAAATATATAAAAACATAAGATTACAAAAGATAATATTACAATCTATAAAAACCTAGAATATACTTAAGCAAAACATATTTTGTGGTCAAAGCAGGTAATTGGAGAATCTCATTGAACTTGTAATTATTTTTTCCGTCTTATATATAAATAGTAAAAGATTGAAAAACCCTATGATCGAAACCGTTCAGAGATATTGTTTGAGATGTTTGTTCAAAGATGTTGTTTGTCTGTGTTTGTGGTATTTCTGATCTTGTTATTGGTGTTTTCGTCATTGTTGTTTGAGATAGTTGTTTGCAGAGCCCTACGATCGAAGCCGTTCAGAGATATTAACGACCATGATCAAACAAAGTCATTCAGAGATTTTTAATTTAAAAAAAAAAAAAAATCACGGTCCAATGATATTCTGCCACATCACACGATACTGAGTATCACAAGTATTAGTGGAGTGATACTCATCAGGCTAGTATCAAGCCTAATTATATGGTTTGGTCTATTAAAGAATTGTTTTTGAGTTAATGATACCAAGAAAAAATCACTAATGTACATGGATTTACCCTTGAGTTAATGATACAAAGAAAAAATCACTAATGTACATCCTTGTTCTAAAAATCGGCCGCCTAGCCGCCTAGGCGCTGATCGGAGGAGCACCGCAGCGATTTTGGCCAAATCGGAGATCCGATTTTTTGTCCGGCTGGACCGCCTAGGCGGCCGCCTAGCCCGCCTAGACGGCGCCTAGCCCAACTTTTTTTTTTTTTTTTTTTTTCATCTAAAATTCAAAACGTCATACTTATGTTCGTAATTTGTATAAAAATCATAAATTTGAAATTAAAATCTTGTTTTCATGTGTTTAATACAATTTTAAAAACAATATTATATAAATTACTTAATTATAATGGATTAATATGTTTTTAAAATATTAAATAGCTCTAAAACTAATCCCCGATTAATCCCCGTATAATCTCCGATTTTCTTGCTAGGCGCTAGGCGTATCCTCACCGCCCGACTAGCGCCTAGCGATTTTTTGAATACGGATGTACATGGATTTACCCTCATGTAATCGACACCGCTTGATAAAGTAACGGTCCGGTGACACAACATCCCATAAATCTCAAAAAATTGAATAATTCAAGGATTTGAAAATAAAAAATAAAATAAATAAGAAAACAAATGCGAAAAAAAAAAAAAAACCATTGCAAGCAAAATTTCTGCTTCTTCAGCTCTCCTTCTGTTTTGGCATTTCGATTTCCGATCATGGATTGAGCAATTGTCCTTTTTACTTGATCGATTCCTTCGATAAACTCCGGATCTTTTGTGTGGGTTTCTCCTTGGTTTGCATAATCTTTTTCTTTCTGATCAATCTAATCCAATCCAGAAATTTGAGTCTCAAAGTTTTACTTTTTCGAATCTGTTTCTCCAAAGACATGTAGGGTTTATAGTTTTCTCATGGAGATTGTTTGGATTCTAAGCTTGCAACGTATCCATTTCCCTGATCTTGTGCGGAGTTGTTGATTTGTTACGGAGTACGCCATTTTGGAACTTCGCTTCAGACAAGGCTATCGTCTGTTTTAAACTGAAGTGAAGGTTCTCTGGATTGCTTCATTTAGATCAAAATAGAGGTTTATCTGACTTAGGCTTTTAAGGTTCTTGACAAACAGATTCGAGTTTTTGTTCTGTATCAAAGTGGATATATGTGGAGGAGATATACTTAAGACTTGGAGGCGGTTTAGTTTTAAAGATAACATTTTGCTGTCCATTTTCACAGAAGTTGAAGTGAGGCATGGAAGATGTGTCCGAGTCTGATAATGTTGAGACCTCCATTATCCACCTTCCAGATGATTGCTTATCCTTTATCTTCCAACGACTTGATAATGTTGCTGACCATGATTCATTTGGTTTGACTTGTCATCGCTGGCTCAACATCCAAAACATTAGCCGTCGATCTTTACAGTTCCAGTGTTCTTTCACTGTCCTGAACCCTGCTAGTCTGTCTCAGACAAATCCTGATGTCAATTCCTATCATCTCCACAGGCTTCTCACTCGATTTCAGTGGTTGGAGCATCTTTCCCTTTCTGGTTGCACGGTGCTGAATGATTCGAGTCTCGCCTCGCTCAGGTATCCTGGTGCAAGACTGCATAGTCTTTACTTAGATTGTTGCTTTGGGATTTCTGATGATGGGATCTCCACAATTGCTAGCTTTTGTCCCAATCTCAGAGTTGTTAGTCTCTACCGCTGCAACATCAGTGACATTGGATTGGAGACATTGGCCAGGGCTTCCTTGTCTCTAAAATGCGTGAATCTCTCGTACTGCCCTCTGGTATCTGATTTAGGGATAAAAGCATTGTCACAAGCATGCTTGCAGCTTGAGTCAGTGAAAGTCTCAAACTGCAAGAGCATTACTGGTGTTGGCTTTAATGGCTGTTCTCCAACTCTAGGCTATGTGGATGCAGAGTCTTGTCAGCTTGAGCCGAAGGGTATAATGGGGATCATTAGCGGAGGTGGGATTGAGTTTCTTAATATTTCAGGTGTAAGTTGCTACATCCGCAAAGATGGTTTGGTACCTATTGGATCTGGGATTGCATCAAAACTTAGAATGTTGAACCTAAGGATGTGCAGAACGGTTGGTGATGCATCCATCGAAGCTATAGCAAAAGGTTGTCCATTGCTCCAAGAGTGGAACCTGGCTTTGTGTCATGAAGTTAAGGTTTCGGGATGGAAAGCCGTCGGAAAGTGGTGCCGTAACTTGAAGAAACTCCATGTGAACCGTTGTAGGAACTTATGTGACCAAGGGTTACTTGCTCTACGATGCGGTTGCATGAACCTCCAGATTCTCTACATGAACGGGAATGCGAGGCTGACCCCTACAGCAATTGAGATGTTCAGATTACATAGAGCCGATATAACACTAAGGACAGAAGAAATGATGGTCATAGGACCAGACTGGAGACTATATGCACAAGAATGAAGCATCAATTTGTACCCAACAGTACATGATTCTTTCAAGTTCATACGAGATTTCTGGGATCAATGTGTTGGTCTTGTCCAGAGGCAAACTGCAAGAAAAGATATATTCTATAATAGGCTTCAAGTTGTTAATAAAGTATCAAAATCTTTTACTGGTCAATAGTGTTGTTTCAAATCCAGTAAAAGAAGAAGAGAATCGAATATTATATAAATATATCAATAGAAAGGTCTTTAATCAACACTTAAACTTCACTTTCCATTTTATTGAGTACGACATCTATCCTTTACCACACAATCAGAAAACTGAGAAGAGATAGATAGAGAGATAGAGAGAAGAGAAGAAGAGACTCGATTTGTAAACAAACATCTGGTTTTCGTACATCCCAATCTGCGTTGCAGGCTGCTACACGGCTTGTCTTCAATCGGTAACCAACTGGTTTTCTTGTTGTATTTAGAGCAATGCTGAAGGATATGGGTAGTGAAAGAAGTAACTTTTAGTTGCCCCATACATTGTCCCAACCACCGCCACCACCTGGTGCAGCAGTTTTAGGCCCCTCGATGTAGTTCTGGTTTCCATGTGGCTGGTGGGGTAAAGGGAGTCCATTAGGCCCTTGTGGGGGCTGCTGCATCTTTCTAGGCCTTGTTCTCACCCCAAGCATACGCAATACAAATCTTGCTAATTCTCCATATAACATACCACCACGATCAAATAGCTGAGGACAAATATTTGATTGGTTAACATGAGAACAATGAAATCAATCAAGGAATCAAGGAGACAAGTTGGTATAAGAAAAAAGGAAGGAACCTGAAGAAGGGCAGACATGAACATGTGAAAGGCCTGTGTGTTTTGATCTATAAGCATCGCTACACGGCCAAAGAAATTCACAGCACCTTGCATCTGTCATCAATCAAAATATGAACACTTTATGTTATACAGAACTAACTTATCAACTTCTTTGATTTCTTATACAAAATAAGTATGAATGATGAACAATACCACACGGAGAAATGATATCCAGAAGCCTGGTGGAGATGGAGGCTGATTAAAAGGGTCATTTGGATCTTGACCACCATAAGGACCCATTCCCATTCCCATCCCCATTCCCATTCCCGTTCCCATACCCATACCATAACCACCCATCGTGCCACCATAACCACCCATCGCGCCACCACCATACATGCCTGAACTTCCATAGAGACCACCAGCACCACCATAACCTCCTCTATACATGCTACTACCCCCATACATCCCACCACCATATGATGAACCATACCCACCTAATGCTGAACCATATGTACCTGACCCATACCCAGAGGTCATACCTAGATTTGAACCATAACCTGCAAATCATACAATAAAAGAAGTAAGCTTTATGCAATCTCAGTAACCAAAAAATCTAAGATAACTTGTAAACATACCTCCCATAGTGTTCCCATAATTCTGCTGCTCCCAAGGTCTAGCCGGTACAGGCCTACTCAGTGCATTCATATTAGCAGCTGTATTAGTCCGGTTCACGGGGGGAGGAACTACTTCACCAGGATTAGCTGTGCCAGAAGCCTCAACTGAACCAGCCGTGCTAGTATTAGAAGGAGGCCTGAAAGGAGTAGGACCAGATGTATTTCCTTCTTGTTCCCAAGGTTTAGGAGGACAACCACCTACAGCAAAATTTTTTTGAAGATGTTACATGTTGAGTAAAAAGATAGATAATATTCTGAAAGAAAGACTGAACTCCAATCAGCACAGGCAAAGAAACTAAAAGACACTTGATGAAGATGATTAGAAACAGTATTAGTAACATCATTGCAAAGTTCTGTGAAACTGTAAAGATGATTAGAAACAGTATTAGTAACATCATTGCAAAGTTGTGTGAAACATCGACTAGAACTACAATGCTGAATAAGAAAAGGCATCAAATTTCAATTCAAAAAGAAAGCATCTAATCGAGTCAAGAAAAGCTAAGGCCAATCAAAGCTAAGAGCAATCCAAAGAGTTAATACTTATCACAAATCATCAATCAGAAGGTACAAAGATCAAAATTCGAACTTTTCATAATTTGAAAGCTATTTAACGAGCTACAACAATCTACAGACAATGATTGAAGGTATGTATTATGATCTGATAAAATCAGGTTACAGGGAAATCCTTGAGGTTTGGGTAAACGAAATCCAAAGCTTACAACCCTAAATAAATCCAATTCTAGGTCGAAGTTAATCAATTTCACAACTTTCATATCAAACAGCTCGACGGGTCTGGTCTCATCGAACCGACCAAAATTGCACAAGGATAATTCAATAAATCGAGACCCTAAAAGCTGAATCCCAAAGAAAAAGATTTTCAATTGAACTAACCTGCAGGCTGAGACGCCATATCCAAGAGACGACGATTGGAGAGAGCTCTTTGGTAATCTCCGACGCCAACCTCAAGCGCGGAGAAAGAGAGAGAGAGAGAGAGAGAGGTGAGAGGTGGAAGATGACAAAGGAGGAGGGACCTCGAAAAGAGAGGAAAAAACAAAACGGATTACTTTCTTCTTTTAGGTTATTATGTTTCAGCCCCTATAGTTATAATCTTTACCCAAAAAGCCTCCTAATTACTAAAATTGACGTATTTGACTCTCTAAAATATAAAATAAAAATTCCGAAAAAGGATAGAGATGAAAACGAATTATTATTTTTTTTTTTTTTATAAGCAAAAGATTCCATATTTCGAGGGACGAAGAAGAAGAAGAAGAAGCTCAGTCGGCGGCCGGATTAATTTCTCCATCTCTCTCTCCTTCTCTCTGTTCCTATCCCGGCGAATTCATATCAAAATTGCCCCAAAATTCAAACTTTCCGGTGAAATTATTTTAGGAAACCAAAGTGACTTTTTAGCTCGAAAAATTGGGTATTTGATGGCGGCGAGCGCGAACCCGTCGGGGAACAATCAGGAAGGTTCGTCGGCTACACAGAAGGTATCGTCTTCTTCAGCGGCGGCTACGAATGGCGCAGCTGTGAATTCGGTCGATAATGGTGGCAACGCAGGCGTTGGCGCGTTGAGGCATAATCCTGGGATCTCTACCGATTGGACTCATGAGGAACAATCTCTATTGGAAGATTTGCTCGTCAAGTAATCTTCTTGCTCTCTCTCTCTCTCTCTCTCTCTCTCTCTCTCTCTCTCTATGTTTTAGATTTGAATTTGCTGTTTTATCCATTGTTCTTTCTATCTGACAAGATGTAGTAAATTCTGAGATTAGCTTCTTTTCCATGGCCTTTTAGCATCATGTAGCTGACTCTATGAACATGGTTCCTCGAATTTTGAATCGGAATATGTGTTGAGAATTGTTAGATTTGGTGGGTTTTTTGAATTATATTTGAGAAGCAGTGGTATTTGATTAGCTGATTGTGAGTTTTGTATGTGGTTTCATCAAGTATGGTAATTAATAATATAAAACTAAATGACTTGCTAGTGTTGTTGTATCATATTTATGATAGGCTCATTAGTGTTGCAAATGTGAAATTTTTAGGCTTTAATTGGAGGATGACTTGTCTACTTATCTGTAATGATTGGTTGTAAATTTTGCAGGAGCCTTGTTAAATCCTATCACTCTTTTAATAATTTATGTTTATATAGGTACGCGACAGAACCTTCGGTTTTTCGATATGCGAAGATTGCGATGAAAATGAAGGATAAGACTGTTCGAGATGTTGCGCTGCGCTGTCGATGGATGACTGTAAGTTTCTCGATTTTGCTTAATCCGGCGAGCTTTTCCTTGTTTTTGATTACCCTTCTTCGCGTGTTGGCTTTATTGATTAATGAGAATCAACTGATGGTTTTTCTCCTCCATGTGATTGCTGATGGATTTCAGAAAAAGGAAAACGGAAAGCGTAGGAAAGAAGACCATTCGTCGAGGAAAAGCAAAGATAAGAAAGTATGTGGAATTCAATTCCTATTTGCTGCTACTTAGCAATTTCGATACTAGCAAAGCTAAGAAAGATAGTCGAAGCACAAACCATAAATTAGCTTGATTGAAAGTTCTTGTGTTGTCTTGTGGATCCATTTATAAAGTCTACAGAAACAAATTGATTGTCTTTCACATTTCTGTTTAGCAGGAAAAAGCTACAGATTCTTCAGCCAAGTCCTCATCTCATTTGAATGTGCATCCTAATGGTCCTTCTTACGCTCCGCCTATGATGCCTATCGATACTGATGATGGTATTTCGTATAAAGGTTTGTCCAAGCATCTAGGTTTTTTTCATTTAAAGGCTAAATCTTCTAGATTGAATAAGATGGAGCATAAGTGTTTCGGCTTTTATTGCAGCTATTGGTGGTGTGAGTGGAGATCTTCTCGAGCAAAATGCTCAAATGTTCAATCAAGTTTCATCAAATTTCTCAGCCTTCCAGGTGAATTCAACTTCCACTTTTCATCTTGTAAGTTTTGTATAATTCGCTGGGTTTTTTGGACTTGATTTGTTTCTCTGCCTTGTTTTGTTGCTTTTGAGCATTCGTTGGGTTTTATGATTGATTTTGTACTATATCAGCTTAAGTTTGTGCTAGTTATATCCAATTGCGTACTTATGAAAGATTCTTTCCCATTGCAGCTACATGAGAATGTCAATATCTTGTGCAAAGCTCGGGACAATATCCTCGCAATCTTGAACGAGTAAGACATTTACCCATATATCCATAGATCATTTCTATGTCATTGACTCATTTTGGGAAATGCCATTCTTTTCCAACAAAGTTTTGAAGTTATTATAAAGTATTAACTCAAATCCTTACTTGCTTTGCTGACTGAACAATTGGATTACAGCTTGAATGACATGCCAGAAGTTATGAAGCAGATGCCACCTCTTCCGGTGAAGGTGAATGAGGAGCTGGCAAATTCGATTCTCCCTCGCCCATCCCATCAAAGGAAGTCATGATCGAGTCGACCTATGGTTGGTTCTGACCAAGGAGTCTCTTTAATCCGGGATCAATGAAGAAAGGAATAAATCGCGGGATAGAGAGAGAGCTCCAGTCGTACTGGTTGATAGAATGAGGGGTTTCCCCTGACTCATAGAGTTATAGTCTCTTTTACAATTTCTGTCAGTCTCTGAATGTTTTAGCAAATGGTTAATTGATACATGAGTAGGGTTGCGTATCGTTTGTTTAGGATGTGAATAGATTTCAATTGGTATGGTATAAGTCTCTCTGTATAAAATTGGTTTCAAGCTGAAAGGTTTGATGAGATTTAGAAGGTCCTATATTCTAAAGATGCACACCCGTGATGCGGTAACCCCTTTTTTAGAATGAAACGAAAGTAGTGAGCCATTTCTTGTAATAATAATAAAACCGAATGTTATGTAACACAAATGCAAGTCTTGCTCGTAGCTTACAGAAGAAATCTCGAGTCAAAAGGGAAGTCAGTTTACAAAAACAAAAAAGTTTTCTGTTTAGAAGATTATTCCAAGCATCTTAGATGGCAGCTCTCTCACACATCAGCTAAGTCTTTGATTAATTTGAGCTTGGAAGCTTGCAAGAGTCTTCAACTCTCAACCTAGAAGAAGAAGCAATGGTGAGCAAGAAGTTGAGATAGTAAGAAAAAGGATACATAGTGTGAGAGTATGACAAACTACTGTGATTTGCTCTCTTTAATGAAATCCACAACACTATGAGCTACTACTACTAATGTAACTTCATGTAACCAGAAGCTGTGGAACCTGCTTTTGGTATTGAAATTCACCAAACTAATGATACTTAGTCTTAGGCTCTTAGCTAAGCAAGTGTCCAACCAAACTCTAGAATACTCAAGAAAATGGGCAACATTTTGTGGCTTATATAGGCAGTGGTGAAATCTCAATGTCTGAACTATTCTTACTAACATCAGAGGAAGTACCAGCAAATTATAACTATTGGTTCACCTCTCTAGAAAATTTTGGAGAGAATCAATGAACAATGAGAAGTAACCCACCTAAGTAAGTAAGAGCTTTCAATGAAACTCAGAGCACATGAATAGCTTGATTTATCCAACTAACAATCAATCATAGCTACGAATGGAGGGAGAGAGGTGGAGAAAGAGCTGACCTGAGCTGGATTCGGGTTCTCATAACCACCAGACTCCAGACCTGATACTCTACCTTCCAGAGCATTGAATTTCTCCTTCATCTGCAGCATTGGAATGTCATACATAAGAAATCGATCAAACAATTTCGTTTACGATCTCCAGGATGTTCGCATGAAAACTTTCCCAATGGATGGTTTTATAAAACATAGAAAAATTACATCAGAAGAAATAGCGAAACGTTCGGCATAGAGATCACGCCACACGATATGACAAATGGAAGCTCCGGTCACCGAAAACCCAAGCGTAAACCAGAGAAGGCGAGTTCTCAACATCTCTCTTTCTTCTTCTTCTTCTTCCTCCTCTTCCAATTTCTGCAATCTCTCCGACTTTTACCGAGTCGTCAACCATTTGGGCTTTCCTTTCCTATTAATATGGGCCTTTATCTTAGCCCATTATATTGCCAAATAAACTAAAAGCATTGAAGTTTTTGCCTATATGGGGTGGATATGTAATGTATCCACAAGTTTTTTTACTAGTAAAAATTGTCTGTGTACTGTGGCCGAAAGGAGAGCCCACGGTGAAGCAGATTACAATCTTGTAAATAGTGAAAAAATAAACATTACCAGCATACCATGACCACATATTAATAATTCTTGTATCAACAAATTGGACTTCTAAAAAAAAAAAAAAAACATCTCATTCAAATGATTAGTCAAATAACATTTTCAATTCAATACATCACACTGTCCTATCCAAGATAGATATGGTTGCAAGAATATAAAGAGAGATATTTAGATAAAAGTTACTTTTTCAATAACTTTCTAACTTCTAATCCAATAGCTGTCAAGGCCAATACCGCGACTGCAAAACCGTAACCGCCATTCCAACTAGAACCAGCTTTAGCCAAATGTATACCGTAGAAGATGTTAGAAATAGCGAGTATGATCATAATTCTTCCTATGTTATGATGATACCAATTCCAATATTTTCTGTATTTCGATTGCTTATCCGGCCGAGCTAGCAATGCAAGCATCTGAAATATCGATAAACAAAACCAAATAAACCGATATTCATTTTGAGTGATCTTTTTAGTATATACTTAAATTTTGAGTGTTAAAGGAAGAGGAACCTGGAGAACGCCCATGACAAGTATGGTTATCCCAAGGCCTTTGTGCTTGGAAACATTATTGGCCTTGAGCCTGTTTTCAAGAACCAAACCGCAAATGACACCAGTTAAACCGAGAAGAAAACCAGTGGTTTGGAGAGCGATATGGGCATAGAACCAAGTGGGGTCCCATTGCTTCATGTGTCGAGCCACTATGGCTCCAATGATAATCAATATTCCCCAGCCGAACATGTTCATTAGCCCATGTGTCTTCTTTAGCTTAGAGTGTGGTGAACCTTTAACCACACTTTGCGAACCTTTTAATGGAAAAATAAAACATAAATTAGTCAAGAAGAACATTCAGATTTTTAGACTCTTAACACAAACTCATTTTGTGGCTCCACAATAGTTCTTTATCTAGTTTTATACCCTCCTTGTTTATCTCGAAAAATTTTAAACACTAAACTTCTACTGTTGAAGTTTACTCATTGAAAAAGTTATATGTGTTTTTCACTGCATCTCACAAGTCACAATCATCAAATAACCAAAATAGAAAATGATGAGATAATAAAAACAAAAACTTGTACATCATTTCATTTTGTCTTTATTACCTGAAATATTGTTGAATTGCAATTTGGTACAAAAATAGACTAAAACTTAATTACTACTCCAAGCTACATCACTAGACTTGTAGAGAGTCCGATAATGAATAATCTCATAAATCATAATGTGTGTAAATTCTTTCGTTTTCAAAATGAGAGCATAACTATAGTAAGAATAAATAATATCGTCGTTTATTGGCCGAATAAAAACAATTATATATTGGAAATTAGTGTTTTGGAAACTATATGAGAGATAATAGTAGACTAGTAGTAGTAGTTGGGCAAGACCTGGTATAATAATAAGTCAGGGTCGGTATAATGTGAAAATGACTCCAACAAAGAATAATGTACAATCTTGAACCAGTTCCTAAATCGTTATCATCGCATTCGCCATGTGTTTAATTTGTTTTGAATGAAATTTAAATATATTATGTTGTGAGAAGGCTAATAACAAACTAGTGGTGATATATTAATTATACGGTGATTAACCAGTCAAATAATGGATTAATTCAAGATTGACTTTAAATAATAAGTCAAATAAAGAAAGCTGGATTTTAAAAAGAAAGAGATGTGTTTTGCTTACCTGTAATATAATTGATGGTCGTGGTGGTCACGAAGCGGTGCTCTCTCAATCTAAAATCCGGCGAAGATGGGAAGAAGCCGGCAGGTCCCATAGCGTAAAGAAGACTCTGTCGCGGCAGCGTCGCCGTCAATTGAAAACTCATGTAAAGACGCGACGACACTGACTCGATCTTCAACGAGCCGTTGACGATGGTTAGATCTCCTTGGTCAGGATTTACCTCGCCGGGAGATTTCCCTCCAAGCAAGTACGGTTTCACTGTCCCGGAACCGCCGTCGGAAGGTATCCAACCGACGATCGCGCTGCTTCCGATCATCTGACCGTTGGTTGAGAATCCGATCCCGATGAAAGCGCTTGAATCCGGCGCCGATAAGATAAAGCTCCATGTGTTGTCTACCGTTCTTGCATACTAGGCGTGAGATTCGATTTCAATATATTTTCAGAATTCGGAAAGTTTTTGAAATTTGGAAAATTAGGAAAATTGACTTACTCGGAGGATGTAATTTTGGAGACTCCAAGCTTCTGTGCATTGAAGGAGGCTGACGTTAAAGGTGAGGTTGTTGAGAGGTAGTGTTGAATTGCAGGAGTCTCTAGCAGCTTGTTGTGCATTAACAACTATGGTGGAGTAAGCAATTAAGACGAAGATGATCAAGGAAACAGAATAAAGCTTCATCTTTTGTTCCCTTTCTCTCTCTCTCTGGATCTGAAAGATGAAAGAGAGAGGAAAGTAATGACTGATGAACAAGGATCATGATAATGACGACGACAATGAATTGTATATATATTTATAAATTATATCTTGTTTATGAGATAGTGTGTGAAGAAGCAGTTGAGAATTCAACTAATTTTAAATTACTTGTATCGTTAGAATTCGTTTTTTTTTTTTTAATATTATTACTGTAAGTCTGGTAAATAAATAGCTCTGTTTCATTAAGAAAGAATCAATCCTTGTGTCCTGGAGGCTACTTAACGTGTGAAAAAATGATTGAAATGTACCGGCTAACTTAACAAACTAACAGAAAAAAAATCACATTAAAACCAAAAAAAAAAACATAAAAAAATAACAAGTTTTGATCATTTTAAGACAAATATAAAAAACTTGATTAAAAACGACAAATAATAAATCTCTCTTTAATTTTTGGAGTACTTTGCATATGAATCCTTGCTTTATCACTACCAGAGTACCAGTATCGGTCTAACGTCATTTCAAGTTTTAAGTCAAACTGGTTATTGATTGCGTCTGCCGCATTGTGTTCATTCATTGATCGACCGATGGGATAATAATAATATGTACTACTTCTTGTCCTCCTGAAAAATTTGATGTTTTAGTGTTTACACATATATTAAAAAATAATCATGATTTAATCATTTAATATTTTTTTTTATTAAATATTTTTAATAATGTATGAACCAATAGTAATCTAAAACAGTTAATTATTTGTAATCATTACGCCTTGAAATCTACTATTTGTTAATATCAATTAATAAAAAATAAAATAAAAAGCTAGAAAATCAGTTTTTGTGGAACAAACCTAAAACACTAGAACATCAAACTTTCAGGAACGGAGGGAGTACTATATATTTGCCTTTTGGTGTTTATTATACTTTTAGTCCTTTGGATTCATATAAATTTTGTAACAACTAAACTAGCTTCTATTAGCTAGACGGTCTATTTACTAAATCCGTCTAATTAATAGGACCTTAAGCATCTTACAAATACTAACTTTGTAAGACAGATGAAAAGGAGCGATGAATTTGTAATCCAATTAAGCTAAATGAGATGGTTACGTGAATGTTAGTCAAATTCTCTGGTTTTGGTTTTTTACACTTTCAGGGACCAGAGGAATAGACCGATCGTGACAAAAGCAATATTTGTTATCCTACACGCACACAAAACAATAGTCAAAACACAATTTCACTACTAGTATATATGGGCTCCATCATCTGGACAAATACCATTCAGTTGTTGAATTTTGGCATCAGCAATCCTCGGCGCACTTCAGTCATGTAATCCGCTGGCGATATCGAAGGAGGCGGCAATGTCTTGTTTGCTGCAGCCAGGATCTGTAATTGTTTTGACACACAAAACAAGAAACGAGGGTCTCATCATTCATGTACACACATCTTTAAAAAAAAACTAGAAGCATATGATTAGAGTTTATAGTTAGTTCCAACCTGATGAGGTAGTTTACCCCAAACACTCCCTCCATAGTACATGATTGGTCGCTCTGTGAAACAGAGAAAAAGTAGGCAAACTTGAAAATCAGTTCTACTTGACTAACTGGAAGACAGAGATCCATATTGGAACATAGATATATTTGATTGTATTTGGAGGTAACTCAAGCAGAACAAGTCTAATAGACAAAAAGGATAAAGGAAAACATGGAAAGCCCTTAATCTCACCAGATAGATCCACAGTAGGGTCGTTGTATTGATGCATTGCAGCTGCCCATCCTGTTCATTTGACAAATCAAGAGCTCGTAAATAAGACAAGCACATAAATTGAGTGCATAAGCAGTGAATTCAACACACACTAATCTATTAAAGTTTAAAGATTTTTTACAAGGAGCATGATGAATAAACTAGCACTGACTCATCAGATGTTTAGCATAGCAACAGTTGATAGAAGAAGGACCAGATAGTGACACAGAGCAAAAATAAACCCCATAAATGTTTAAAGAGATAGTTCAGATTCATACGTTGGCTCATGAGCTGATAAGCTTCACTCCTAGAGCAGTCCTTTACTGTTATTATCCTCTGGGTCTGGGATTTGTTTTGCTTCTGAAGACCAGTAGCAGGAGGTTGATTTCTCTCAGGATCGTTGTTCTGTTGGCTACTTGTTCGATCTGCATTTCACTCTTTATTTAGCCAAGAAACAATATAATAACGAGCAAAACCAGATATAGCTTGAGCAATGATCTTTCTTCAAGAAAAAAGGTAAAAAAAAAAAAAGGATCAAATACACACATGGGAAATGAATCAACAAGCGGATTTGCAAGTAAAGAGAGAATGAGATTTGAATTTCAGGCTAAATCCCTAATATTTCACTTTCTTAGAACGGTTCTTGAGGTTACCACAATGTTTACAGATTCGCATGCAATCAATTACTGTATCTACAAAATCTGATTACTTATTTTCCTCGACAATCTTTGATCTAAGATATAATCCACACAGAACTAGATACTCTCGGTATCAAGAACCGATTTGATTCGTTCTCTAGTAAGAATCAATAAAGAACGACTCAGGCAAAGAAGACAGAGAGAGAGAGAGCTCACATACCTCCCGACTTCCGACGATTCCCAGGAGGCTTCCTGCGACACGGAGAAGCAACATCAAACGGTAAGATCGGAGACGAAGTAGCAAAATCAGCAGAGCAGAGTAAGTATCACTCGAAATCCGCAAAATGAGAGGAAGATTTAAGCGAAGAAGAAGAAGAAGTTTACCTTTGATTAGGAGGAGTATATCGTTTCTGGTCGGAGCTCGAATCCGCCATTGACGAGTTAGGGTTTACGCAATTTTCTCAGAGAACGACTCTCTCTCTCTCTCTCTCTCTCTCTACCGGTGGAGAGATCTGTCAACTCTTTAACGCATAGAGAACGTTGAAAAGCGTCGTCTCGTCGTCTCTTAAGTCGTTCAATATTCACGCGCGGATACTTCAACGCGTGTTTATCAACCGCTCGCGCGCTTTTATTACGCCTTTTCCGAAATTTACGTTTCGTAAATTTATGTTTTTTCTCCTGGAATTGGAAATTTCGTCCTCTTCTATCGATTTTCCGGTTAGCTGAACCAAGTTGTCTAGATTTCTGGTTTAAAGATCGTCATCGGTCGACCCTTGATATTGATGGGCTTACTACATTATCTCGGCCCAATTCAGCTGATGGATCCAAAATCGGATCGCGAGGTCTCCACAGCGAAAGAAGGGTTTTGAGGGTTTTCGCACCTTTTGCTCTTTCCTCGTCAATTTCTTTGTTTGGTTGGGTTGTTCTTTGTCGCATCCAAAGATGAAGCTCGTCAGGTACTGTTTCGATTTCTGTTCTTCTTTTTAGCATAGTGTTAGCTCCTTTTATGGAATCCATTCCCAATCTTGAGCCTGAGCTGATTTGTGTTCTATTGTTTTGATTGGATCGAGTAGGTTTTTGATGAAGTTAAACAATGAAACTGTGTCAATCGAGCTGAAGAATGGGACTGTGGTCCATGGAACCATCACTGGTAAGTTGTTGTTGTTAGCTTCCGGTTTCTTTGTAGCTCTTCTCATCCTTTCTCCTCTCTCGATTTCTCCGTTTCTAGGCCTTATACAAGTCGCGATCTGTTCCCTAATTTTCAATTGGCCCTAATCGCATCCTTGTGATCACAGTAGTAGGTTGAGAAAACACACTATTAGATTCAGTAGTCGCAAAGGTATATTTATTGAAGTTAAGCTTGATGATTTGGGCAGGTGTTGATGTGAGCATGAACACTCACTTGAAGACAGTGAAAATGAGCCTCAAGGGGAAAAACCCAGTAACTATTGATCATCTTAGCTTGAGGGGTAACAATATCCGCTACTACATTCTTCCTGATAGCTTGAACCTCGAGACTTTACTTGTGGAAGACACTCCTAGAGTTAAACCTAAGAAGCCTGTTGCTGGTAATGCTCCATTTTTGATGTTTATAATATTCGTCTTCTTAAGCTATAAGACTCCTTTATCAGTCCATTTATTCTTTCTCTCTTTCTTTCTTCTTTAGGGAAGGCTGTTGGACGCGGTCGTGGACGTGGTCGTGGTCGTGGTCGCGGCAGAGGTCGTTAGATGTAGCACTGCACTGGAAAAAGTTGAAGGTTTGTGAGTTAAATTTTTAGGAGAATGTACCGAGTTATGTATCTAGCAATTCTGGCAAAGCAAAGATTTGATTACGAAATGGTATGATTGATGCTAGTAAGGAGTTACTATGTAATGGAATTCCATGGATAACAAGATTTAGCTTTACATGTTATAATCGCATCTACAAGTAGAGAATTTGTGTGATTTTGAGAGCTCAAGGCTTTTTTATTCATGTAAAAAATCTGACTATCAAAGTGCATTAACTTGTTGACAATCTTAGTATAGAAAAATGCTATCTCCTCCGTTAGTCTTCCACTTGAAACCTATCTCACATGATTCTGCAATTGGGATCTTGGTTGTAGACAGGTTCCCCGATCTGATGGTAGGGATCACACGGATAGGGATAGGCAGATGGCACACCATATCCATAAGGCCACCATATCCATAAGGCCATGGTTGACAACATGGCTCGGGTTTTTTCTCCTCAGGTTTTTTCTCTTCGGGTTTATTTTCTTCCGGCTTTTTGTCACCATCCTTGGGTGGTTCAACTTTAGTTACGCTAACAAGCTCTGCAAATGCAACTTTTTTCCTGAGTGCGTTGATTAGAGCGATCATATCAACTTCAACACCGGTCACCTCAATCTGGTTCCTGTGATCTCCCTTTATTTCCACAGCGTTCACGCCTATAAACAAATGCACTAAATCTTTAGATATCAGCAAGAAATACAATCATCAGGTTCTCTAGGGTTTACATCGTTGTTACCTTTAAACTGAACCGCAGTTTTCATTGCTTTTGCTCTAGTTGTGTCATCAGTCATAGCAACTCTTAGCAGGATCTTTTGCTGCAGGCAATAAGAAAACTTTTTAACATCACAAGAGAAGTCTCTTTCTTTCACAAGAGAATCGAAGTTATTACTTGTTGAGTACACAGATACATACCTTCATGTTCTTGTCTTCTTCACGGTCGGTATAAAGGATGATTAGAGATTGTCTGCTTTGAGAATTCGGTTAAATGTTTGATAGGCGTTTGCTCAGAATTTTTTCTCTTTGATCACAAATTTGAGGAAATATAAATAAGGGTCGAGTGATTTTATATATTCATTTGTTCCATGAGTCGTTGTCTTACACAACGGAATCGGATAGTTTGAATTTCGTTGTCAGGTTCATATCTTCGTTCCTTACGTGTTTTATTGGTTCTAGTTGCCGATTCGTACAAGCTTATTGCCAATTCTTTTAATTTTGAAACACTTCAAAAATATTTATTTGATTGAGTCAAAAAAATTAGATTAAATAGTTATTGACTGGGTCAAAATAAATTGATTAAATAATAATAAACAACTCAATTATTATTTGTTTAATATACGGTTGTCTGATAGTTTTATACATGTATGGCTAAAGACTTATTGATTTATGAGTCAGTGTTTCAATTATGATGATTAATAAGTTTATTTTATTTATCATCCAGTTGTGCATAAGCATAACCAATGAGTAGAACAAATGCGATCAAGTCTTCGTCTTCTCTAGAGTACATGTTTCCCTCTAACTTCCTAGCTTAATAAAAAAAAAGATTAACTTGACTACTAATCTGTCATCCCTCTGTATTAACAAATGTTATATGTTTGACTTGCAACATTTACGTTCGCAATCATACATGCTAATTCTCCAATATAATGAAACAATTGTAGCTTTTAATTTATACCAATGTGTTTGTCTAGGCTAATTTGACTTTTATTTCTTAAACCTTTACTCACTGCTGATGCCAATTGCAGTGATACCAGCAATTTGCAAGCGATTTATCCAACATAGGTAATTAGGTATCAGTATCATACTTCATGGAGTTGAAAACGGTAAATTGAAATAATTTTATTTGTTAGTACAGAGTACAGTAGAACCTCTATAAATTAATACTCGATAAATTAATAAACACGATAAATTAATAAATTTGGCCGGTCCCAAGTCGGGCCAGTGTAAAAATTAACCAAATTCGATAAGATAATAAGATAATAAGTTTTTTGAAATCCCTTTGTAAAAATATAGTCCCAATAATATCATAAATTAATAATCATGTAAATTTGCATATATATATATATATATATATATATATATATATATATAATAGTTTTAGTGTTTTTCATAAAATAGCCAAAAGTTTTTGTAAGTTTTCAAATTTTGAATATGCATAATTTTTATTTTAATAGTCGTATAGGTTTTTAAAATACAACAATGAATGTCACTATTTGTGAATTTTAATTTATGTATATCGTTTGTATATGTGAATTATATAATCGTTGTTATTCATTGTCAAAATAAATTATTTTCTCTTCGAATATTAAGTGTTTAAGGCTAAAACTATATAAAACTTAGAACATTCAGAACATTAATTTTATTTAGATCACATTGTTTTACCTCATAATTTTTTAAAAAAAATTTCACAATTGAAACAAAACTTTCTATAAATTAATAAATATTAATTTATCCTATAAATTAATAACTATTAATTTATATATAAATTAATATCACTATAAATTAATAAAATATCATGGTCCCAATATTAGTAATTTATAGAGGTTTTATTGTATATAAGAATAATGAATCAAATAAGTTTAATATCCTCACATGTCATCATGGGTACTTCTACAACAACGATCCTTTTTTTCTTTTTTTTGGGCCCAAGTCCAAACTACAACAACAATGCTTCTATATTTGAAAACGCAGATAAAAAAAAAGAAAGATATTTGGTAGTTTTTGTTACATCTCAACTTTTCAGCATCTTTTCCTACCCAAAAAAAAAAAAAAAACTTTTCAGCATCTTTTGATGGTAAGCTTTTTTGCTAATACAGTAAAACCTCTATAAATTAATAATGTTGGGACTAACAAATTTTATTAATTTAGAGAGGTATTAATTTATCAATAAATTAATAATTATTAATTTATAGAGAGATTTTACTAATTTTGTAATTTCTTAAAAACATTTCTATCTAAAAATAATTTTTTTCTTTATAAGTAATATCTTTTAAAAACTAATTACAAGTAGATAAGTAATTATTAAGTTTAAAAAAACAACACAAACTTTTTTCGAATAATAGTCATATTTTATTAAATTTTTTACATAGAATATTTTTAATATATATCATAGTAATTCAAATATGACATACTCCCTCTGTTCCTGAAAATTGGATGTTTTAGAGTTTACACATATATTAAGAAACAATCATGATTTAATCATTTAATAATTTTTTCTTTTTAATAAATATTTTTAATAATGTATGAACCAATAGTAATCTAAAACAGTTAATTATTTGTAATCATTAAGCCTTGAAATCTACGATTTGTTAATATCAATTAATAAAAAATAAAATAAAAAGCTAGAAAATCAACCTTTGTGGAACAAACCTAAAACACTAGAACATCAAACTTTCAGGAACGGAGGGAGTATATAAATTTATATATATATATATATATATTGATAAGTTTATACAATTATTAATTTATGATATCGATGGGATCATATGTTTATATGAGATTTTCAAAAAAATTATTATCTTATTAATTTATCGATTTATGTCATATTTTACACTGGTCCCAATTCGGGACCGGAAGAATTTATTAATTTAGAGAGGTTATTAATTTATAGAGTATTAATTTATAGAGGTTTTACTGTATCATTTTACTGATTCACTTACCTTAAATGTAGTCATTAGTGATATATTTTTGCATACTCTCCTCCTGAATTAACTAAAACTTTATGAAAGTTACCTAAGACATTACTATGAAAGTAGTTTACTTAATTCCTAGAGATAATTGCTGGAGTAATAAAAATGAAATTGTATTGATCGGTACCATTACTTTTATATTAGGCAAATCAATCCGAAATTTGAATTTGAACTCACAATGCTAGGTATTAACGTGTCATAACATTTGATATTCTTAACCAAATAAAATGTATAGTCATATCTCTTTAATTTGTGGGATCATTAACCAATACCATGCCTCTTAACTTTTTCGGTTCCTCGACTCCCTCGTGCTCGTATAGAGTCCCGTAAGTCATAAAACCGGTTAAGCTGTTGATATCTCCGGTCAGTAATTTCAGGAAACGGTTCGTCTTTATCTGGATTAAAAAATACTAGCATTTAGAAGAAAAAAAGTATATTCGTTAAAAAAAAAAGATTTGGAAAGAAAGTATAAAGAGCGGGAAATAAATCCCAAAGATATCGCGAAATCGTGCTGATTTGACCAAAATTAAACCAAAACTTTACTCTCTGAGAAAACCATTCAGTTTCCCCAAAAAAAAAAAAAAAAAAAATCCACCTTAAATCCCGTGTCTCGGGTTTTCTTTCGTTACTGATTGGGGGCTCCGAGAGTTGCGCCGAGGACGATTGAGAATTTTGATTTTCTAAATGGATTCTGTGGAGGAGAACGGACGCGGTGGTCTCCGTAGGCAGCGGAGGGTTTCTACGAAGCTAGCGAATTACGTAGATCCTCCGACTGACGACGAAGAAGATGGAGGATCTAACAAGCGAAAGGGCAAAAGGGGTGTATATGGGCCTCGGAAAAAGACACCGAAGGAAGACGAGGAGAAGCAAAAGAACGAAATTGATGAAGCAAACGGAGTCGCTGGTCTGGTGAAGGAAAAGAGAGCCGCTACTAAGATTGTGAAAGGCAAAGACCTCATTACTGAAGCTTCTGGAAGCAAGCCCATGCTAGCAAAGGGAAAAAGGACTAAGAAGGAGGATGAAATCGATGGTGAGATTCCAACTAAGCCGGGCAAGAAGCCCAAGACTACAGTGGACGAGAGAATCATTGGTTACAGACCGGTTAGTGATTTCTCTCTAAAATTTGTACTCTCTTCATACTTTACCAATGTATTAATTTGGGGATGTATATACATATATAGGACAATATGTGCCACCAATGTCAAAAGAGCGATAGGATTGTTGAACGGTGTCAGACCTGCAATAGCAAGCGTTATTGTCACCCTTGCTTAGACACTTGGTATGATTTTCTTACCTTATACTTAGATTTCGTTTCTTGTTTCTGATTTCATTCCATGGTTGTGACAAAGGGATGTTTTACTATCGTCTTGTAACACTTGTGTAATCACTACTTGCAGGTATCCACTTATAGCAAAAGAAGATGTTGCCAAGAAATGCATGTTCTGCTCTAGTATTTGCAATTGCAGAGCATGCTTGCGTCTAGATACTAAATTGAAAGTAAGTTTTCTAATATCTATCTTGCTTGGTTATTGTTATCTGTTTTCCATTTACTTAAGTTCATTACCATAACGATTACTCCAATGCTATGTAGGGGATAAATTCGAAGCTCATCCTCAATGAGGAAGAAAAGGTTCAATCCTCTAAGTTTATTCTGCGGAGTCTTCTCCCACATCTAAAAGGAATAAATGATGAACAAGTCGCAGAGAAGGAAGTTGAGGCCAAAATATCAGGTACTTTCTTTGCTTTCATTTATGCTGGAAGTAATCATTGTTATTGTATTTTTTTTTTGCATTCTCATGTTATTATGTCTAAGTATGTATATTCGTTATTATTGGATATACTTGCATTTATTCCCAACAAGATCTCAGAGTGAGGGGATTCAGTTTTCTAAGTGGGAAGCTGGAAGCTCATTAGCTCCAGGTGTTACAAGATACCTTAATATTGTTTAATTTCACAGGACTGAAGTTTGAAGAGGTTAGACCGCAAGACGCTAAAGCTTTCCCCGATGAAAGACTATACTGGTATCTTACCCTGATTTTTTTGTTTCAATTACAAGTTTTTATGTCATGATTCTGTTTGGTAACTTGCTTCTTTGTTGTTTTAATTCTTTTGGGCTTACAGTGATATCTGCAAGACTTCTATCTATGATCTCCATAGGAATTGCAAGGCCTGTAATTGTGATATCTGCCTTAGCTGTTGCCTTGAGATCCGCAATGGAAAGGCTCTGGCATGTAAGGAGGATGTGTCTTGGAATTATATTAACCGAGGTTTAGAGTATGAACATGGAGAAGAAGGAGAAGTTATTGAAAAGGCGGGGAATAAGCTAGATGATAAGCTGAAAGATAAGCCGAAAGATAAGCCGGATGATGAGCTGGATGATAAGCCGAAGGGTAAGCCAAAGGGTAAACCGAAAGGTAGGCCGGATGATAAGCCGAAGGGTAAGCCAAAGGGTAAACTGAAGGGTAAGCAGGATGATAAACCGGATGATAAGCCGAAGGTTAAGCCGATTAATACAGACCATATGAAGTACCCTTCTATGTGGAAAGCAAATGAATCTGGGATCATTACTTGTTATTGTGGTGCTGGGGAGTTAGTGTTGAAACGACTACTTCCGGATGGTTGGATATCTGAGTTGGTCAACAGAGTAGAAAAAACTGCTGAAGCTAGCGATCTTTTGAATTTACCTGAAACGGTTTTGGAGCAATGCCCTTGTTCTAACTATGACAGTCATATTGACATAGACAGCTCTAATTTGTTGAAAGCTGCTTGTCGAGAAGGTTCAGAAGACAATTATCTATACTCTCCAAGTGTATGGGATGTTCAACAAGATGATTTGAAGCATTTTCAGCACCATTGGGTAAAAGGCGAGCCTGTGATTGTGAGAAATGTGCTTGAAGCTACATCTGGTTTAAGCTGGGAACCAATGGTAATGTTTCGTGCCTGCCGCCAGATAAGCCATGTCCAGCATGAAACACTTACGGATGTTGATGCTGTTGATTGTTTGGACTTCTGTCAGGTCAGTTTTTTCCTCAGTAAATTGTATTGTCCTTTCGATAGATGGTTTTATATAACTTAAGTTCTTTGCAGCTAATTTGGATTCTTTTTTTTCTACATCTTGTCAAGTACTTAATTTTAATGACTCTGGTACTTGCATAGCAATTAATTTATTCTTGTCTAGATAATTTAAATTGTTTTGACGTTCTTGTTTTTCCCTTCTGGGTTTTGCCTTTTCTTAGTAGATGCATTGAATAGCTGCAAGTCAAATTCCTATTAGTCTTACTAGGCAACAAAATGGCTCATCTGTTACTTTCCAGATTTGTAACTTCTTATTATGCTCTTATTTATCTAATGGCTTATAATGGATGCAGGTAAAAGTTACTCTTCATGAATTTTTTACTGGATACACGGATGGCCGATATGATCGTATGGGTTGGCCACTAGTTCTGAAACTGAAAGATTGGCCTCCAGCTAAAGTCTTCAAAGATAGCTTGCCACGTCATGCTGAGGAGTTCTTATGTAGTTTGCCTTTGAAGCATTACACTCACCCGGTTAATGGACCTTTGAATCTTGCTGTCAAGCTTCCCCAAAACTGCTTGAAGCCAGACATGGGACCAAAGACGTACGTTGCTTCTGGATTTGCTCAAGAATTTGGCCGTGGAGATTCTGTTACTAAGCTCCATTGCGACATGTCTGATGCGGTTAGTACCCATATGATTTGTCTTTTCTCGTTTTCATATTCACTTCTTTGTTATAAGTCTGTCCATTCTTATTGTTTTTCTTGGAATATCCATAACGATTCAGAACCTATCAAAACATTAAAATCAGATACCATTTCCTAATAGATTCACCTCACCAAAAAAAAAATTTCCTAATAGATCCATACCTTAATCGGTCACTTTAGATTTTTTATTACATTGAGGATTCGTCTTCTCTTCTTTCCTAGATCAGTTCGTTTAGTTTTTCTGTTTTTCTTTTTTGCTTAGTTTTCTGGACTCTTTCATTGAACTCCTCTTTTTTCATATTTTATTCGGGCTATACTCCTCCTTTGAAGCAAAGGAACTCTCCTTAGTTTTGTTGCATCCTCATATTCCGTTTAGGGCCAAAAATCAAAGTCTCTTGCCTTCTGTTCTTGAACATTCTCAGATTGCGATGTCCATTTGAAACTTTTTACGTTCCTCATAGGACCAATGGACCAACCATTATCCATTCAATGTGAGTCCATCAATAGCTTTCATAGTCCTTCATAAGCCTGTCCTTCAGTTTTTTTGGTTTAGTCAAATTCGGTTTTTCCGGGTTTTGAAATTGGCCCCAAATAAAATTGAATGTTATTTTGGTTTGGTATGTAATATAATGAAATAAAATATAAAATTTTAGTAACTTTTTGACCCAATTTCTTTTTTTTTTTTCCAAAATAACAAATTTAGGTTAATGTGTTTTTCTTTATATTTGAATTATTTTGTTTTGGTTAAGTCGGGTAATTTAACATAGGATTTTCTATGCCAATCAGATTATTATATAATTTGGTTGGGGATTAAGATCGATGATTTTCATTTGGAGTCGCCCGGGTTTGGTTCGGTTTTTTTGTCCGTACCCAAGGTGAAAGGTGTTAGACAGGCCGGCCGCGTCCATCTGGGCCAGTCTGCGATGGGCATTTAAGTTTGTGAGACCGCGACGGGCCGGCCTGCTAGACCGTGGGCAAAAATATTATGTCCAGGCCCGCCCCGCTAAGCCCAACGGGTTATTTTTATTAAATATTTGTAATCCGTGGGCTGACCCGCAAATCCGCGGACAAAACCGCAAAAACCCGCAAATCTGTTTGGGCTTATTTGCGAGGCCCGCTATTTTATGGACATGAAAAATGATGTCCAAGCTTGCCCCGCCGTGGGCTACTTGGACAAAGCCTGTGGGCTATCGGCCTGCTTGACACCTCTACCCAAGGCCTTCATCCATTCGGCTTATAGCACTTTGCTTAGGAGGATTGTATCTCAGAATTTCATAGGATGATCGTCTAAATAGAATATGGAAAAGATGCAACATTATGGTCAACTCGTGGATATCCGCTGGTGTTCTTTATTTTCAAGACGTTATAAATTGTTCGTTTTGCTGTCGCAGGCGACGACTACTAAATCAAATTTGTTTAGCTGTGGCAAGTTCAACTTCCTAATTCGGCAATTACCGATTATAAATTTGAAAATGCTGTTTTTCAGCATCTTATAAATGTTTTGATTGCGGGACGAATTTGGCTAACATTGAACTTAGTAACACGAAATCGTCTCATAGTTGATAAATGAGATTATCATGGAATACACATTGAATGCGAAGATTACGCATTTTATTTGTGATAATAGTTCCAGAAGAAAAATAAAGTGCTTGTGATAGTTCGAGAAAAAAAAAAAACAAAAGATTCGGTAGAGCTAATCGCTGATGACAACACGAAGAAAATCAATTTGTTGTTGTCGCGCAATTTCTGTTGCCAATTACAGTCGCCTGTTGTATCAGTATCGAACAACAAAACAAAAGTTAACACCCCTAGCTGTTTACTACTTGAAATTTGCCTGTTGCTACTACCAACTGTTGTAGTTTATTGCCGTCGCTTGTTGATGACATTAATGATGAACATCAATCTCGTAGAATTGGCAGAACATGAACCGAAGTCCTGATTGAACACCCCTAGCTGTTGCTACTTCTTGAAATTGTTTGGTTGTTGGAATTAATTTATTCTTCTCACATGATCCCTACATTCTTCATAACCTTGTAAGGGTACAAAACATATTGAGATCGATTGTCAGATGCGGCGTTTAAAATTTCTAATTGATACAAATCCTTAGTGGGCATGAACTTGCTGATGTCTACCCAAATCCCTTATTTAGTTATTTCCAATTCAGTCAAAAAAATATCAGTCGAGCAAATAATTAATTAATTTTTTGGAAGATAAAATATTATTTTGTGTTTGGTCAAACATTTTTTTTTAAAATAGTTAATTATTATCGGTTTGGTTTTCTCTTGTTTCCTTCCGCTTTGTTCTCTTTACTTCTTCTATGACCATTTTTTCTTTTCCAAATTAGACTTTAGAAACGAAAATCCTCGCTTGCTTATATAAGCATAGTTTGAAATAAAGCTCAGCCGACATTTTTATTTTATAATTATTTTATTCACTTTTATTTTAACTTTTCTAGTATCTTAATTTCTGTACCCTTTGGTTATTTCAGGTGAATATTTTGACGCACATATCTGAAGTGCCCATTAACGACAAGATGCAAGATGGAATGGGGAAACTGAAAAAGAAGCATGCCGAACAAGATCTCAAGGAGCTGTATAGCTCAGTAGCTAACCAGGAGGAAATGATGGAGATTCTTGAAAATTCCAGACAACAAGTCCAAAATGTTGAAACTGATGATGGAGCTCTTTGGGACATTTTCCGTAGAGAAGATATTCCTAAATTAGAAAGTTACATTGAGAAACATCACAAGGAGTTCAGACATCTCTACTGCTGTCCTGTGTCTCAGGTACACACTATCTCTCCATGCTTATACACATTTCTTCTCATGTTTTTTAATGGTTACAGTTTTAAAGATATGTAGTGCATATTTGCATCCAGTCTCTCTACACTTTTGCAAGTTGTTGCTTATCTTACATTTTCATTTACCTTCTTCTTTTAGATTGCTCATCCTATACATGACCAGAATTTCTATCTGACGCGGTATCATATAATGAAGCTGAAAGAAGAATATGGTATGCTTTATATTATATATATATCCGACCACATTATCTTGGCAGTTTTTGGTCAAGCTTTATGAGCTGTATATTATTGTAGGCATTGAACCTTGGACCTTTAATCAGAAGCTTGGGGATGCTGTTTTAATACCTGTAGGTTGCCCTCATCAAGTTAGAAATTTGAAGGTAAATTTTTATACTTTTAGCTTAGGATACAGTGGATTTGATCAATTTGACTTTTAGTTTTCAGCAAAAGGTTCATCAATTGATCATCGTAGTTCTCTTGTGTCTTGCAGTCCTGCACAAAGGTAGCTTGTGACTTTGTCTCACCTGAAAATGTCAGCGAGTGTTTACACTTGACAAAACAGTATCGTCTACTTCCACCAAATCATTTTGCAAAAGAAGACAAGTTAGCGGTATTTCTCTTATCTCAATTTCTGGTTGTTTTGAGCAAAGTTTCCAACTCCTCTAATTGTTATTCTTTTGCTTCTTTCCTGTGTGTTTACTTGAACAGGTTAAGAAGATGATAATCCATGCAGTTGATAAAGCTCTCAGAGACTTAAGTGGAGAGAAGTGAGTTTTTACTTCTCTTCTCACTATCAATAGCAATCATCCGTAAAATGTGTTTCTTTTCGTTTAAGCTTGAGTTCTTTATTGTGTTGGTTCAGGTCTCCAGAACCCAAAGAGAAGAAGAGAAGTACGAATTCAAGGAAGACAACAGCCAGGACAGTTGTTAAGGCTCTCAAAGAATTACCTCCAAGTGAAAAGAAGTGAGTATTTACTTCTTTTCTCACTACCTTAAAAAAACACTAGTAAACTAAGTTTTTTCTTTTGTGTGTGTTCAGGTCTTCGGAAGCAGCTGAAGAGGAGATATCAAATGGGATAGTCAATGCAATCGATAAGGCTCCCAAGGACTTCCCTCCAAGTGAACAGAAGTGAGTATTTACTTCTCTTCTCACTACCTTAAAAAAACAATGGTAAACTGAGCTGATTTTTTGCTTTTGTGTTGGTTCAGGTCTTCCGAAGCCGAAGAGGAGATATCAAATGGGATAGTCAATGCAATGGATAAGGCTCTCGAAAACATATCTTCAAGCGAAAAGAAGTGAGCTTTTTCTTGTCTTTTTACTACCTTAAAAAATACTAGATTTTTCTTCGTCTGAGCTGAGTTAATCTTATTTTTGTTGTGTTGTTTCAGGTCTCCGGAAGAGGAAGGGGTGAAAAGACCTAAGATTGTGAGGACATATGAGCGCAGAAAAAAGCAGAGAAGTGAGAAGACCAACGCGTAGACATTGGCAGATTAGAAATGGAGAAGATGTAGTAGTAGTTTTTGTTGCATCTCAACTTTTCATCATCTTTTAAACTATTTTGCATTAAGGAATCTCGAAGTTAAACATATTACTAAGAGATCGACTAAGAATATACTTAGTCCTTAGTTATATCTATTTTTGGCATCTTTAGTTTTCTCTCCTCTAGACAATTGCTGGAGTAAAACTAGTTTAAATATCTATCAACATAACAGTTACAGCTATAATTTGTTATTGGCAATTTTTGTTAAGTTACTCAAGTTGTCTAAGTTATGAGTGGAGAAGAAAGATTCTTGAACTCACATAGCTAGGCATTAACGTGTCATAACAATTTAACATTTAATCTTCTTAACCAAATGGAATGTATAATCATATTAAACACATCATATCTCTTTGGGGGATCATTAACCAATATATGCATCTTCACTTTCTTCACTCCCTCGTACAGTCTCATATACCGCTCTTCCGGTATATCCATCAATATCCTTTTTAGTTCCGGTATTTCCTTAACCGATACCGAAACCGAAAACTTCTCCCAATTCAAAACATCACTAAACGGCAAAACATAGTTCTCCGAGATAAGAACCGGTACACATCCGCTGTATATCGCTTCCGGTATTCTCGGGCTAGCAACTTCGTGACCGCTCGGGCAAATACAAAACCGGGTTTTCCTCATCATCTCCGTGTAATTTAAATCTTCCGGTAGATTCTCGTAAACCAGAATGTCTTTGTCCTTCTCTTTCCAGTGGTTTAGAAGAACCGGACGGATTTTGCCGTGTGATTTCCCAGCGAAGAAAGCAAGTGTTTTACGAGAGATTGGATCTAAACCACCGGTTAAGTTGTTGATTTCTCCGGTCAGTAAATTGATTTCAGGAAACGGAGCGTCTTTCTCTGGATTGAAATATTCTGATATGTTGGCGTTGCATAGTACTCTTATGGAATTGAAAAATAGCTTCTTTACATACCATGTTGCCCTGTGTCCCTGCAACAATGTGGTTAGTTACCGTGAGAGAACGAAACACTGATAAATAAAACAAGAACAACTTACCCAGTCATGGCAAGACAACATGAAGTGATCAAACCCATCGCTTGTGTTCCAATACGGATATTTCTTGGAAATTATCTGGACATAGTCGGCGATGACACTTTCTAGGACAGCCTTATCTCGAACAACTGGGTCGAAAAGATGGTGTAGGATCATGACAACACTAAAAGGTAAGAAGTAGACATGAGCCTTGTCCGGATCTCGGGTTCTGTACTTAAGGACATCGTTTTCCATAAAGTTTAGGAACAATCCTTCCATGGAGTATATGTCTTTACAAAGACCATAGTGAAATATTGGCGGATCTCCTTCTTCGTATACGTATATCTTGAACATCCTCTCCATAAGAAGATAACTTCTGCAACAAGTTAGCACATCAATAAAGGGTCTATGACACGTAAACTCTTAGGTGTATTTTTACCGGTGAAAGGCATAAGGGTTCCGGTAAATGTCGCCATGAGGAACATAGTCTTCGTCTCCGAGGGGAGACGATGCAGTAGAATTAGAGTTTAATTGAGCTTCTCTGATCAACGCCCTCGCGGTTGCCAATTCTGCTTCTACTTTCCCATCTCTTTTCCAATATCCAGAACCTGGATTTGATCCGTTTCTCTTTCTTTTTTCCTTGAAAATGCAAAACAAAATTCTTGAAAATACAAACATAGAAACTATTTTTTTGATAATTGTAAACGAAAACGTGACAGTTAAAATTACTTCTTTGCGTTTGCTTTGGTATATATGTACATGTTATACATGATTAAGCAAGTACTCAATGTACATGGAAAGTTTGGAAACATAACAAACATACACATACAAATTGACGATTGAAACAATATCGTAGCCTAAATCGATGAACGGAAAGAAAGATGGTTACCGTGATGAAGGCGGAGGAGAAGGAAGAGGTCCATAGTGAAGAAGATGTTGAAAAATAGAGATGAGAAGATGAATTTGAATCTTTTGCTATGAAAATTGCAAAGACTACAGCAAAAGTGGCAAATGCCAAGAGAAAGGCATTCAGGTATTTGGGAATGTAATCTCTCATACCTTTCCCATTCTAATTCCTATTCCATTATTGTGTTTGTGTTTAGTGTCGCGAGAGAGAGTGATGGTGCTGAAACTAAGGAGATTTCAAATGAGCTAAATTAAAGAGCCTCTCTACACCACACAACATAACTACTTCACATTATAGCTAGTGACTCTCAAAAAAAGAATACAAGGATCTCAAAACTAGACTCCTTGTTTTATGGTCTACCATATAAATTCTTCCACGACCGTTTTGACTCTCTAATAGAAAAACGTGTTGGGCTTTATGGGCCGCGTTACCAAAGCATATATTATGGGCATTCAGATTGGTCCATTAAGATAATTAGAAAAACTTCATGATAAATAATAATAATGTGGCCCATTAATGTCCATATATTTATCTGTCTCATCATAAACAGCCGTCAAAACAACATCATCAATGGCAATGAACGCTGTTCGATTGTCGCCGGCGACTCAGCTTCACGGCGGAATCTCTAGCAGTCTGTTACCATCCAATCGCAAACCTAATAATCCCATCGTCCGATACGGATGCGGATCTTCGAACCGTTGCCGTATGGTAACCGTCTTGGCGTCACTCCGGGAAAATGATGGAAATGGTAGGGATAACTCCGTGAGAGCTATGGAAGTGAAGAAGATTCTTGAAGACTCGCCTCTGCTTCCTAGTACGATTTCCCACTTTCGATTCCTTTGAGCTCTGGGACAGATATCTTCTTCATTTGCAGTAGATTTAACGTATATATAAACAATTAGCTAGAAACTTCGATTTAGTGATGATTGGTTCTTTTTTGTTTGAATAATAGAGCCGTTATCATCAAACCAGCTCGCGGAATCTGTCTCTAATGGCTCCCGCGTTCGTGTTGCGTATCAGGTAATTCCCACTGAAATGAATTGTTTCTGAGAATCAGAATGTTTTGGGGATTTTATTGGCTAATGAATGATTGTCTAATTAGGGAGTACGTGGTGCATACAGCGAATCAGCTGCTGAGAAGGCTTATCCAAACTGTGAAGCTGTTCCATGTGAAGAGTTTGACACTGCTTTTGAGGTCAGAATCTCGTTCCTTCACTGACCAAGACTGAAATGATCAATCTTTCATTTTTCTTAAAAGTTTTGGGTGCCATTCGTCTGAAGCAAATTTCCAACCTTTGTTCTTGTTTAGGCGGTTGAGCGGTGGCTTGTTGACCGAGCTGTTTTACCGATTGAGAACTCTTTAGGTGGAAGCATCCATAGAAATTATGATCTTCTGCTGCGACACAATTTGCATATTGTAGGCGAAGTCAAGCTAGCTGTTCGCCACTGTTTGCTGGCTAACCATGGTGTAAATATTGAAGATTTGAGAAGGGTGCTTAGCCATCCACAGGTATGCCATATGTCTCTGTGCAGAATTGAGTTCTATTTCTCTTGGTATTATCTAAAGCCTTAGTCGTTGTTTTGGATCAGGCTCTTGCCCAATGTGAAAACACGTTAACTAAATTGGGGTTGGTCAGAGAAGCAGTAGATGACACTGCTGGCGCTGCCAAGGTGAGTTTTATCTTCCTAGTATGTTTATATTCACACTCACTGCATACAATGGAAGCTAAATAAGTTTATGAATTTGGTTCGCAGCAAATTGCATTCGAAAATTTAAGTGATGCAGCAGCAGTTGCCAGTGCAGAAGCTGCAGAGATATATGGTTTGAACATAGTTGCTGAAGATATCCAGGTTTTAAAGAGTTTCCTAATGCCTTTACCATTTTTTCATTCATATACAGTATTTACACTTGTGGATTATTTGATTGTGAAATTCAATCAATATAGGATGACTGTGATAATGTTACAAGGTTTCTAATGCTCGCAAGGGAACCCATTATCCCTGGAACTAACAGACTCTTTAAGGTGAGAAATCCAGTGTACCTTTCCAAATGCAAATGTAACTCTGCTATTTGACAATGTATTGTTCGCTGGTGGATGAGTTACTTTGATCTTCTTTTAGACAAGTATAGTTTTCTCGTTAGAGGAAGGACCTGGAGTACTTTTCAAAGCACTTGCTGTGTTTGCCCTTAGGCAAATCAACCTCACAAAGGTTAGTAACTTAGTACTACTCTCAAAATCTTTCTCTTAATTTTTGCAGCCTTGTTTGTAGTCCCTAATAATCAATTTCTTGTGGTTTCAATCAGATTGAAAGCCGCCCTTTAAGGAAACATCCTCTCCGAGCATCTGGAGGACTAAAGTAATTTCTCTAACAAACCACTCTTAAGTCTATACCGTACCCAGAGTGTCTGAGAAGTGATGAAGTGTCTCTCTTTCTGTGCTTGACAGATACTTTGATTATCTTTTCTATGTGGACTTTGAAGCATCTATGGCTGATGAAGTTGCTCAGAACGCACTTAGGCATCTCGAGGTAAAACCTTTGGTTACTTGATCTGAAAACATTTACATCTGACTAAGACTCTGGTTTTTTTTTTTTTTTTTGGGGGGGTAGGAATTTGCTACCTTCTTGCGGGTACTGGGAAGCTACCCAGTGGACACTACAATGCTCTAAACAATTTCCAACATGGTCTTGGTAAGCAGTTCAATTGGTTTGCATTGCAAAGTGTAATGTGTAAGGAGTATTATTTAGGTATTAGTAAAATGATATAAAGAGAGTATAAATCTTTGAATAGTTTGTGACAGAGATCCGCTTGATGATATCATTATTCTGGTGTAAGAAGCTCTACTGTCTATAGCCGTGAAGTGAGGTCCGAGGAGTCACAAGTGCATCTTACAAGACATTCCGCTTTTGTTACAAGTTCTGAGGTCCAAGGAGTCACCGGTGCACCTCTTTTTTTTTTAGTAGAAGTAAGAATAGTCAGATATCAAAAACAATCACCAAAGAACCTAGTTTTTTTGTGTGTGTGTTTACCATACAATACATAGATACTTTATCCAATATGTGGCTTTTTTAGAAATTCCTGTGAGAGTTATTTGCATAATACGAGTATTAAAATTTGATACCTTTATTTTTTTTTTTGTAATGGTAATAGAATTGGTGACGTTTCAAAATTTGGTCGACTAATGTTAGTGTTATATGTTCGAGTTAATAAATGAGATAAAAAACTCTTCTCGATTAATAATGTGCAACAGGATAATCTTTTGGTTCAGAATTGAAAACATTGAGAAAAAGGAGGGATGATAAGACAAATAACAAGAAATGAGATTTGTGGAGTACTAATTGCTTCTTGCGCAATAAGCTGCTGAAATTAAACAGCTTTGCTCAGACAAAAAAAGCTCTGTCGACTTTGGCAATGAAAGTAGCGGAGAAGATTGTTATCCTCTGGAATGATTCCGATGGATTTGCTGCAACCATTGCTGATGCTCTAAGCCCTAACCCTAGTTCCCCTCTTCGCAAACTGTAAAATCGATTCTTCCTTTCTCGATTTCCGCCTCTTCCTCTCTCTCTCTCTCTCTCTGCCTAACATTGTAATTGCTGCAGAGAAGAACAGATCCACCTTCCGTTGGATAAGTATGGCGTCGAAGGTGCGGAAACCGGCGGGAGTATCGTTCATTTCGTCGATGAAAATGGAGTTTATCAGGTTCTTCCTATTTTCATCGCGTTTTATTCCGTCGAAATAAGCGAGTTTCTCGTCGAGATCAATCTTCATAGTTTCATTGAGTTGGTTTCTCGCTTTATTTTTATAGTCGTTGTTTGTTCTTAGAACTGAAATTTATTCAGTGCTACAGTTTAGCTGAAGAATTGTGGTCTCCTTAATGTGTCATACCTGCAAAATGTGATATGATGATTGGATTCTTAAGGATGTGCAACTGTCACTGTGATTTCTCGCTTCACTAGCTCATGGCTTCTTTGTTTGTATTTCCCTAAACTAAAGCCTTATGAGAAACAAACTAAGTCTCTCTATCTGCTTAAGTTAGAGTGCTTAGAGGTGTTGACTTGGCTAGTGAAAGCAATAAACAAATGCTTGTTCTTTAGTCTGTCAGCTAAAAGGATATTTTCATTGCTTAACTTTCTGATTTTTTCTTATATTGTTTAAGGTCTCGATTTTTCTTCTTCCAAGCTATGAGCCTCCAGTACTAGTGTGTGCTATGAATGAACTGCTGGACCTAATTACACGGGAAGTGTCAACCCTACCCACAATTGTAGCTCCTTTTCTTGTGGCGGCATCTAAGCTTAAGTTCAATAACAGATCCTATGAAGCAAATAGAAGAACAGCTAGTCTTCACTACGTTCAAGTTGGTCCAGAAACAGAGATCAGTAGGCTATTTGCTTCTCGCATCGAGAAACCACCCCCATTGATGCAGATCCATTATGAACCTTTGTCATGCTTGCTTCACCTAGCACGTGTCAAACGCCTGCCTACCTCTATTCTCATTGGGCAAAGAAGTAGTAGCCTATCTCATAAAGCTCTAGATCAAGACCTTCAGGTAATTTTTGCTGAAATTTTGTCTCAGTTTCTGCTCAATTTTTGCTGGACTTGTAAATCCACTAATACTAGAAAAGTAACAGGAATCAAAATCCATGTTCAGTAATAAGAGAAGGTTGATTTTAGCTGAATAACGAGTTTGCCTGATTGTCATCACAGGTGATACATGAAACAGGGGAGCTTGTGGCCAGTTGGACCGGACTGTCTTTCTCAAGAGACAGAATCAAGTGGAGCGCATCAAAGACATCAAAAGAAGAAGAAAGTCCGTGGCGTGCTCTTTATGGTTAATCTTCACAGGTCAGGTCAGGTCTTTTTCATGGCCTAACACTGCTACAGTCTTTGCTTGGACCTGCACTAAATTTCCCTGTTGTACCTCTTTTTGTTAAAACTCTTATGCTCAGCTGAATCAATTCCATGTCACTGCGCTTTTCCTAGGATATTTATTTATGAAAAGAAACAGTTTTTTTGTTTGTTTTTTTTCTGGCTGGTCTGGTTCAACCAAATCTTAAACCCTCAAAAAGCATTTTGATTTAAAGGTGCATATATTTGGTCAACTCACGGGAGGATCATATCCTAGGAGTGGGATAATTTAATAATATTGATGATTAGAGTTATGATTGGTGGGAGAGAGGCATAAAAAAGGAGATTAAAATTGGTGTGAAATCCATAAAAGGCACTCATGAAGTATACTCATAAAGATAATAAATGTTATCTTAAGAGAAAATAAGTGAGGTGTCGTCAGCTCTAATAAGCCGGTGGTTTAATAATAGAGTATTCGTGAAGAAGGAATACGATGTTTTGTACCAAAGTTTTTCGGATCGTCCCAGAATCTTATCCTACTCACATTTCAGCATCATATGTTATTTTTTTGTTTGTTTTTTTCTTCGATCCTTTAGTGCGTCTTATCGTCGCCTGTTCGCTTTCATTATCATTTTGATTAGATTACTACTATTCACTTATTTTCCAGGCAGATTTGTTAATAATTTATCCAATTAATGTTAATGCTGTTACCTTTATAAGTTTTCAATGTCATCATTCGTCTTTGATTGGATACGAGTCTGAATGGTAGGTATATAAAGAGCAGCAAAACAAATTGACAGAACCAAGTTTTTCTTTGGTTCAATTCATTTTGATGTTTTCTGAATTTGAGAAGCAAACAAAAATTAAACGCAACACTAATAAATAAATATATATATATATATATATATATATATATATATATATATATATATATGAGGGTACTAAGTTTAACACTTGATCGATTTCACAAAGAATAGTTTTCTGATTAGTAATGAATCATTTTACACTTTTAATTTGACTTCTCAAACCAGAATTCTAGTTTACCTAATAAACTTTGAACTTTTGACCAAAAAAAAAAAACTTTGAACTTAAGTAATTATCAATTAATTAGTGGTATATTCAATAGGAACTTACTTGTAAACATGTCAAAATAGACACATTTAATAATTGGAGGTGGGGTTTCATCCAAAGCTCAAAGACCTTACATAGATAATTCTTTTTTTTGTTTGGTCTATCATGTTTTGTTTTGTTTCTATTAGTTCTTTCAATAAATCGATTTCCCAAGAAATTGAAATAAAGAAGAAATGGGTTAAGTAAACCGGTGAACAACAATAATATAAAGGTAAGAAAAAGGACAAAAGAGATCTATCATCATTATTTCCAGCGACTTTATATATAGTCACATTATTTTATGAATATTGGACTGTTAAATATCTTTCTGGTTTGAGAGAGAGTTACACATACGTATCTAATTTGGCAGATATTTTTTGGTTTTCAGTTCCTCCTCCTCAATAAATATCTTATATTATTCTACCCGAAAGAAGATATTTTTTGTTATATACGCCCACCGAAAAAAAAAAGAAGAAGAAGATATTTTGGTTTTTGTAAGGTCAAAGCAAACAGATTTATCAATTATTATTATCTGAGAGAGAGAGAGAGAGAGTGTTTCTGAATTCTGATTCGTCTAAAAGCATCAAAAAAGTGAACGCTTGAGAATCCATTATGGCACAATACAGCCACTTGATAACTTCCACGTCGCGAGTAGATTACCTGCAATACACGCATGCGCGTGAGTAAACACTACAACCTTTTTCTTTCTTTCTTTTAGTACACTAAGAAATATCCATAAAAGTTTATTGCTGTCACTATAAATACGACTGGGACCCACTTACCCTACACGAACTTTTTTGCACTTTTTCGTCTGTTTTTTTTTTAAAAAATTAATTAAATAAAAAAAAGGAAATTAGGCACTTTTGATAATCAGATTATGTCACAAGCCTACATGTCCCTTTGCGGACACACCCACCCATTGTCTATCCATTCATTTTTTTTTTCTTCTCCAGAGAGAAAGAGAGAGAGAAGCACAAGAAGAAGAAGAAGAAGAAGTTCTGGAATAATCATCGTCTCTGTTTCTTGGGGTTGTTTATTTCTCTCTAAAGTTTCTGGATTCAACTTCCGAAGAAGATCTTTCTTACGTGAGTTGTTTGTTTTCTGATTTCAAAACCCCAAGTGTTCTTATTTTCTTGCCCTCTGTTATATAATTGGTGTTATCGATTAAGAAGAGTTGATTTTGATTTTGTTTATATGTTTTGTGTTGAAATTGGATCATTGATTGAGTCTTTTCGTGTTTACTTTCAATCTGGGTTTTTAAAACTTGTTCGAATGATGATGATGATGATGATTGGGATTAATCAAAAAGCTTGATTATTTATTGGAAATTGAGAAATTTTCGATCCATTCCATTTGAACTGTATTAAGTCAAACAAAGTCTCTAGATTTACTGATCTGGGGTTTAAGCTTTGAAGCTTGAGTTGTTGTTTTTATTTCGAGTTTGATTAATTTCCATTTGTGGGTTTTGGTCTCTGACTGTTGTTTATAATTAAAGCTTTGTATTGATTTGTTTTAGAAATAAATCTCATTCATGAAGAAGGTTTCGTTTCCTTTTTTATCCTTCTCCTTTGGTTATTAATCCTATACCTGTTTATAGAAATCACTACCTATATTCAGAAAGATTCCATCTATTTTTTTCCTCAAGGCTTGCTTTTTCTGAATCAAGTCTTTCTCTCTTTTTTTTTTTTTTTTAATCTAACTTGAGTTATTTATTAACTTTTTTGGACAGCAGAAAGTTGATTTGGTCAGAGTGAAGGAAGATGGGTTACATGTGTGACTTCTGTGGTGAACAAAGATCTATGGTGTACTGTCGATCCGATGCAGCTTGTCTGTGTCTCTCCTGTGACCGGAGTGTTCATTCCGCTAATGCATTGTCCAAACGGCATTCTCGGACACTTGTCTGCGAGAGATGCAATGCTCAGCCTGCTACTGTCAGGTGTGTTGAAGAAAGGGTCTCACTCTGTCAAAACTGTGATTGGTCCGGCCACAACAACAATTCTTCGTCTTCTTCTACTTCGCCGCAGCAGCATAAGAGGCAAACCATAAGTTGCTATTCGGGTTGCCCTTCGAGCTCAGAACTCGCATCCATTTGGTCCTTCTGTTTGGACTTAGCCGGACAATCCATTTGTGAACAAGAAATGGGTATGATGAATATAGACGATGATGGTCCTACCGACAACAAAAATTGTAATGAAGATAAGAAAGATGTCTTTGTTTCAATTCCTGAAACCAGTTCTGCAGCAAAAGGAAAGTCATCTTCTGCTAAGGTAACTTTTTCTCTAAATATGTTATTACTTTTGCATTCATGGATATATCTATCTTGTTTACTAAATTTGAGCTTTTGTTTCTTTTGGTTTAAAGGATGTTGGAGTGTGTGAAGATGATTTCTACGGGAACCTTGGTATGGATGAAGTTGATATGGCACTTGAGAACTATGAAGAGCTCTTTGGTACCGCCTTTAACCCCTCGGAAGAGCTATTTGGGCATGGTGGAATCGATAGTCTTTTCCAGAAGCACCAAACAAAAGCTCCAGAGGTTTTTATCCATTTCCCCTATATGATTTACCAGCATTTATCAAAGTTGATGCATCTCTATGTGATTTTAATAATACTCTGTTGTTTTTGCTCAATCCAGGGAGGGAATTCGGTGCATCCAGCTGGCAGTAATGATTCGTTCATGAGTTCGAAAACTGAGCCAATAATTTGCTACACATCGAAGCCAGCACAATCGAACATATCGTTCTCTGGAGTCACTGGAGAAAGTAGTGCTGGAGATTTCCAAGAATGTGGTGCATCATCTTCGATACAGCTCTCTGGCGAGCCACCATGGTATCCTCCAACATCTCAAGAAAATAATGCCTGCTCACATTCAGTAACCCGTAATAATGCAGTTATGCGATACAAGGAAAAGAAGAAGGCTCGCAAGTAAGTAGTACAATGCAAGTGCAATACATGAGCATCATAGAAGTGAGTGCAGGATTTTCCTAATGAGACTCTGGCTTCTTTTTTTTCTTGAAATAGGTTTGATAAGAGAGTGAGGTATGCTTCTCGCAAAGCAAGAGCTGATGTGAGACGGCGTGTAAAGGGGAGATTTGTCAAAGCTGGTGAAGCTTATGATTACGACCCCCTCACCCCAACCAGAAGCTATTGAGGAGTCTTATTGAAAGGTAAAAAAAAGGTAGATACACATGGCGAAGAATCGAACAAGAAAGGTTTTTGACTTATGGGCAGTTTCAAGTGAGCAACTTGGAAAATTGTGGGTTAGTAACAAAACAAGACTACTCTAGCATGAACAGATTCAAGACTGACTCTTGTAAGCAACCATTCATTCTTGGGATTCAATCGGTTCTTTGGCCTCAGAAGCTTCATTCTTGTCCAGAGGGATCATTCTCTGACTTTCCTTGTCCAACTCCGGTTTCTTCTTCTTCTTCAGGCGTCTCACTGATCAGGGTTCCATGAATTTTGTTCTTCTCTGTAGTTAAAAAGGCAGGGAGATTTAGAGTAATTAAACAATATGTGATTGTTGTGTATGCCTTTCTATTTGTTTGTTGTATACTCATAAATGCTTTTTTCTGTTTTGTACTCGGGCATTCTTGTAAATTAAAAACATTATCCACATTGTGTAACAACCGACTAGTTCAAGTTTAAGGAGATTTTGGTTTGTAGCAACTTCAAGAGGTTATTTATAATTGATCCAACAATGAGACAATGCCAAAACATCTGAACGTAATTATTTAAATTGTCAGATTATAAAGTCCAACTATGTGTGTTTAATCGCTGTTTACTTAGCTTCTAAAATGTTATTTTATACATATATGATATATCTAAAGTGATGGAAATGCAAAATAGTAGTTTTCACGATTTTGAAATTTTAGTCGAAATTTTATAGCTTAACATTTATATTTGGATTTTCTTGAAGACTTTATTATATCACAAGTTTTAATTTTCGAATTGAAGTATAAAAATTCAGGGAAAAAGAAGGATCAAGTTGAGCCGCGAGCAAGAAATTTGTCCAATTTGATTGCTGGCTCGGATTTAAAAACATTGACCAAAGGCTAAGAAAAGAAGAGTCTTCAGATACAGACTCAGGCAGCAAAGTTCTTGGCTTAGCTCAGAAACTTAAAAAGAGAGCTAAAAAGACCTCTTAAAGCTAAGAAAGCATAAATTTTGCTAAATCAAAAGAAAAAAAAAAGATATAGAAAACACCAAAACACTGGTTTCATACAATACCTTTCCCTAGCCTTATGATCATTCTCTCTGTAAATCCCCCATCATGCTTAAGCCTTCAACTTCATAGCTTCATTTCTTTGGTAATTTGTTAGATGGCACACACACACACTCAAGTCAACAAAAACCCGCACCATATCTTTCCTGATTTCTCTGGAATTTGAAACTTGTTGAATCTTCAAAATCTTTTTCTCCTTTATACTTCCTGTTTCAGTAATTACTTGGCCAATTCATCTGTGTTTGCTGAGGCTGTTGGAAAACGTTAGGCGCAGGTGCAACCATTTCAGCTCCAGCCACACCTTGAGACTGTTGTAAAAGCGGATGATGAACTCCTGTTGCTGTTACTGCTTGTCCCTGATGGTAAATACCTGGGTACGCGACGTGACCAGCTTGTGCTGGAGCGTAAGTCACGTGTTGCCCATGGTGCTGTAAACCATAGAAAGAGCTTGACACATCTCGTCCTGGTCCAGTAATCCATACAGGTAATGCTTCACTCTGCAGAGACCCCATGAATATAAATTCATCAGGAAAGGGAACTAAATTTTCAACTGAGTTGGTTTCGGGAGAGAGAGGAGATATATACCTGTTGCCCTGTTGTGCTGTAGCCGTTGTTTTCTTTCAACTGCAATGAGTTGAGATCCTCATTGGAAGTCGAATTCCCGGCTGATGCAGCAGAGGTGGGATTATATCCTGCTGGGAAGGACCCATATGTTGGTCCATAACCACCAGGCATACCGACATGAGTCATGTTTCCTGTATTAGTCCCAGGCTTGTAATGAGGGAGTGTGTATTTGCCTCCTGTTGCAGCTCCAGGGGGTGGAGGATATACACCGCTTGCCTGAGGTTGCTGAGCAAATGCACCATTGCTTAAGTATTGGTGCATTGTAGGGGGAGGTAGATAGAATGGGGAGAAGTATCCATATGGCACGTAATTTGGTGGATAATGCGACATATGTAAACCCGGGGGGCGGAAAACAGGAACAGGCTGCTGCGTGACAGGAATAGAGCTCTGCATTAGTCCAGCAGCCTGAGTTACCAGTGGTGGTGGACTAGCAGTAGACAGAACTAAGTTATTTCCACCCTACAAATCAACATGTTCAAGCATTTCAGACCCAGAAAAGTAATAATAACAGCTATATTTTTATCTTTTGAACGTATTATAATGCATCTGAATATAAAAATATACAGACCAATTAGAAACCGTAGATTCACTTCAATTTTATCAAGAAGAAAAAATGAGACTTAGATCCACGTAGCTGAAATGAAAGTTTCGACTATTGATTGATGATTGATTGATGATGCTATTGTTGGAAGATTGCATTACACGAAAAGTCTCAAAACCATCTTAAATTGGATCAAAATCGTGAAGGTCTGAATTATAAAATAAAATAGAAGTTTAACCCCCAAAAACTGTACTAACCTCTTGCATGGTCTGAGATGAATGCGGAGGCATTACTGTAACATTCCCATTAAATTTGGAGGCAACCCCTGGGGAAACAAAGGGAGAAACACGGCCATCACTGTCAGGACCTGGGCGGTAGAATTGAGCATAGTAACTCGCCGTATCAAAAGGTGGTTGGACCTTCAAACAACAAAAGTATAGTTCATTAAGAAGACAAATTAGAGATGAAAATGCCTTAAAATACGTGATGAGCAAAATGTTACTGATCAATGAAGAGTAGAAGCTAAGCATAATTAATGGTTTAAGTAGATCAACCATACAAAAACTTAATTTAATTAAGGGCATACCACAAAATTGGGAATACGAAGAGCATCACGTGCTTGAGGGTCAGCAGTCTCAAATTGTGGATGCTGGCTCCCAGGAGCTGGAGGAACAAGCCCGATAATACTACTTGGAACATGGTCAAAAGAGTTTTGATTGCTTTCGGACTCCAACATATTCTCTTGCTTGGTGACATCATACTCTGAAGCTGCATTTGTTGCACTAATACCTTCACCAGCCATATTATCTGGAACTTGTGAAGGTGACTCGGAGTAAACATTATTGTCCTCTTCCTTTTCAGTCGAATGGACAGTTGGGTGCCTGAATTCATAAACAAAATTTCGCTTAGGCACTGGTCATATAAATACAGTTATATTTCAAGATATAAAAGTTCATAATGTGAAGATTATCATGACGTCCAGAAAATCAGTGACTCACAAAAGTTCTTACTTTCTGTTTGGAACTTAAGAGCCAAGCAGGACAACGAGTTGTTTCTAGGAACAAAAGCCACTTAACTATTTACACTATCAGATCAACTGACACCCTACAGCATGACGAAAAGATGTATGTTCTGTTAACCTAGAACCAGATGTAAACCATAGAGCTTTAGAAGTTTCGGCTATGCTATTAAGCAAAACAAGCAAACTACACTAGGAAATTTCTCTTACCTATTTCCATCAGTAATCTATTATTCACAACTTCTTTCTAGCTCATTTCACTCTAAAGTGAGAGTATTTATTCGCATAACAACATAAACGATAATTAATAAAGTAGAGAAAGGTAGATATAGATACCTAAATTCCTCCTCTTCAAAACTTTCTTCAACTTCCTGCGAATTATGAGAGAGAGGTGCAGATCTCTTTTCACTCTGAGGACTGGCTACTGAGCTAGACGTAATAGAAAAGCCAGCATCAAAGCTTCCAAAGCTTAACTTGGTTCGTTCAGCCTCTGGAACAAGAATATGGTTTGGAATAATAACATGCTGACGTTGAATCTGCAAGTCTTCAAGCTGTCTCTGCAATCTGGATGTGGCCTCTGCTGAAGGGATAACATCTTCAACAGATTTTTCACTGGATTCAGTAGGAACTGCAAGGGTTTCACCTGTAGATGATGCACCAGAGCCCTGGGTAGTGTTATGGTTCACTGGCTTCGGTTTCCATTCCTTAATGGAACCAGCACCTAGAAACAAGTATCATTGACATGAAGATGTCAGAAGATTACAGTCTTGTGCAAAAAAAAAAAAAAAAAAAAAACTATTAACGAAAAACTGCAGCAGACAAAAAGTGCTTCCTTTAAAAGCAAGGCACTATGTATGCACATTTATCACCTGGAATATTTACTATATGTTTCATATCGCAGATAGTAGAAAATCAGTACTGCAAAAATAAATGTATCACCGTTACCTCTTTGAGGACCAACAGTCTGATGTGACCGATTACTGTAGTTAGAAGAAGGCCGACTACCCGTGCTATTGCTATGAGACGAAGCAGGCCTCAGAACATAATCATTCACGGCAGTCTTCCCAACCCCACGGGATCTGGCATGGGACTTGCTTTCTCCAATGTGCTGTTCATGTGCTGTTTGCTCTGATTTGGGATTTGAAGATGTGAATCGAACTTCAGAAGAGGATGGACGAGGGAGTGGCAGAGAATCAACTGACTTCTGCTCAGTATGCACATCCCTTGAGCCAACTGCTAAACGATTTTTGCTAAATTCCACAGAAGACGGTGCACCATCAATGTTGTTTGAGAGCACTGAAGATCCAGTAGCTTTCAGTTGACCTGCACTAGCTGGTAGGTTGGAAGAATGGCTAACATCAGAGCTTCCTGATGTCAGACCAACAGTACTTTTATCCATCACAGCTGAATGGCTGTCAACCAAAGAAATAGAAAAAAAAAAAAACATCATGAGAAGGTTCATCTATAGAGTATATCCATGCTGGAAAAAAGGCCCATCCCTACTTTAACTGAGGGTGTTATACATCCACCTATATGTCACAAAGAATCAAGGAGAATGATACATAAAAGGAATATGACAATCACCTTGAGACCAAAGCCATATCTTTCGTTTTTATCCCTTGAGAGGTTGAAGTTGATGGATCAGTGACCTGCTTTGGACCGTTTTCTTTTCTGAAAGAATTCTTTGCACCAGCAACATCTGATCAGAAGTAAACATTCACCACACAACACAGTTCATCAATTACAGAAAAATTAAAAAGCAACATGTTAAGGACTGCCGCTAGGGAACTTTCTCTATCACATTCTTTCGCTAAACATACTAAGAGCCAGTCATGAACACATCTAGTATGTCCTAGAAGGAGAATCAGGAAAGAATCAATTCTGAGTAAATATAACAAAAAGTATTGTGACCGCAAGTAACCACCTTCCAGAGACAACTAATGCGGCATATTAAGAGATGCAAGTTCATATGATTGTAAAGCATTAAGTTCATCTGATTGTTATTTACCATTTGATGCATGACGAGAAGAGAAATTCATCCGACCACCCCTGCTACCACGGCCCCCTCCACCAGATCTCCATGGTGATTCAGCAGAATCCTTGTTGTTGATGTTCTGTAGCATTTCAATAACATTGTCAATACCCATGTCACAATATATGCTGTTTAATAGACATGCTTTACACAAAAACCCATGAAGAGACCAAAAGACCTGCAAA